TTTACCAGCCACTGCAACATTGCAACAGCTGGTATTGTTTTCATGCTGTGAGTCTTTGTTTGTGTGTGTGTGTGTGTGTGTGTGTGTGTGTGTGTGTGTGTGTGTGATCATGGCAAAACGTGGTCCTGGTGAGACATATTGTAGCGGGAACCACCTCAGAAACTGTTCTGAGTATTCTGCCAAGTATTTATATATCTGTCTGTCTGTCTGTCGCTCTGTCTGACTGACGTCACAATTGTGCAAGATGCAGTCACGAAACTTTACAGATGTGTGGTTGAGATCAAAATGAAGGCTGCGTTTGAAGCCAGGTGTGGTCTAAATAGGAGTGGGGGAAATAATCGATTCTTAGCTGCATCACGATGCTGATGTGGTAACACGATGTTGATGTAACAGAGTGGCGGAACTCAACCATGAGGGCAGTGCAGCACCTGGACAGTGAACAGTGCGGACACGCTGGAGTTAACTTATGATTCATCTTCACAAAAGTCAGCGGCTTCAAGCATGTTTCAATTTAATGTCTAAATGATTACATTAGAGAGGTAATTGTTAAGTATTATACTTTCTTCTGCCATCACCCAGAGATGAACGTTAACATTAACGTTCATCTCTGCTCCATAGCAGTGATCAGCAGTATCTCTAACTGGTCTGACTGGTCAACCAACATACACAAAACAACTCTGTGGTGAAAAAATAAATTACTCTTTTGCGTAAACAAAACAATGATGCATTCTGCCTCCCCCTCAGTGTGTTATTCCCATACAAGCAGGAGACCCTAAGGTGTTTTCAAATAAATAATTAATGCAGTTGACTTTTTAAAATAAAAAGGCTGTATACTATGGAAGCGAATCGTGACCAATATTTAAATTAAAATGCATTTGCAGAAATGCTTTTTCATTTTAAGAACGTGAGCTCATTGTCGAACTGTGCACACCGCCCCCTACCGTATTAGATGGGTAGCACGGTCAGCACAGAGCTGAAGAAGAGCGGCTACTGACGTCACTCTCCTGCGCCGCTCAGATTGCCAAATCATTTTCGAATTATGGGCACTATTTTGCGGGGCAGACCACGAAAACGAAATAGCAATGTCATCTTTGTTTTCTTTTTGATTATGGCATAAAATGTGCCGCCTTGAAGAAGAAAATGAAAATGCAAATAGGTTGACTGATTATTTATTTTATTTATGAGTCAAATAATGCAGCCATATTCTTAAAATGAAAAAGCATTTCTGCAAATACATTTTAATTTTCAAATTTTACATTTCAAATTGAATTTTGGTATCTATTTGCTGGGGCATATTTTGAAAATTAAATCTCAAATGTCTTTTTCTTTTTCATTTTAATTAGGTGAAAGAATGAGCAGTCTTGAAGAAGAAAATTAAAATGTGAATAGGATGATTCATGATTAATGTTATTTATGTGTCAAATAATGCAGCCACATTCTTAAAATGAAAAAGCATTCCTGCAAATTCATTTTAATTTAAATATTGGTCACGATTCGCTTACATGGAATGGAGCCATGCACTAGGACAGTCTGTTGTCATCCACCAGGATGGTAAGGATGAGATGCAGGTGGACTTTCCAGCAGGACGAAGAAACAAAACAGACAGCAAAGAAGACTCAACTGGTTCCAGAGGAAGAAAATAAAGGTACTGGAATTACCCAGTCAACTGGCAGACTTAAACCTGATAGAATATTTCTGGAAGAAGCTTAAGATCAAGATTCACCAGTGTATCCCTCAGAATATTCTAGATTTAAAACTGTTTGTGAGAAAGAATCGCCCAAATTCCCATGTGAACACTGAGAGATTGATTTCTTCGTACAAGAAACATCTTAAAACCTGGATTGCAAACAAAAGCTTCTCAACCAATTATTAAATATATTTTAGTTGCCGTATTCAATACCTTTTTCCCTGTGTTTTTCCACTTTATTGTACATCACTTTTTTAATGGATTGAAATGGTATGCTTTCTTTATCTGTATAGTTTTAAGGAGTAAATATCAATGTCTGGTGTACATTTCATGAGAATAGCTGCTTTGGAAATATGTTTAATGTTAAAAATGTTCACGCGTTGAATACTAATTTCCCCCATGGCATTTAAGGCTTATATGCACCAGCTTTTTATTGTTTGTCTGCTTATTTCATCTATCTTTGTGAGAACCCATTTCAGCTTAATACCTTGAAAATAAGGACATTTTAGGAAAGTGAGGGTATTTTGTCCACTTGTCACCTTTGGACAGACCTTCAAAGGCCTGTTTGAGGGGTCAGACTGGGTTATGAAGCTCTAGCAAAAGTTGAGTCGGAAGACTGTTCTTTTGCATGCTAGGTCTTCAAAATATTTCACATAACATCCACCATTCACTCCTTGCATGCATGCTCACACATTTCTATCTGTCAATATCCGGGGCTGTCAATTGAGACATTAACTATTATGTCAGCTGATCATAGTCAACCAATAGCACAGCGACACACCTTCTTTGTTAGCCTATCATCTTACTGCTGCTTGGTTTAAATATAAAATACATATTAAATATTCGCTTTCTGCTCGTAGTTCTTTCATGCTGCAGTCGTGTGCACCCTCCACCTCCCCATCACTGCTGAGTCTTCACAGATTCATCAGCCTCATCATACCTCAGTCTCAGAGTCATCAGCCACCACCAGTGTCTGGACTCCATGGGGGATTTATCTTATCTCGATTGCAAATCTCCCTCGGCAGTCCAAGCACCGAAGACTTTCGGTCAGTTCATATTCATCACATCATCTGATAATCTGTATACCTCTGTATTAAACAATCGTCTTTATTTTATTCACCTGGTCTCTCCTGATTTACTTAAGGTTCAGGTTAGAATTAGGTTTAGAAACAGGAGGTTCTGGAGACACTGCAGACCCTGCAGTCAGGGAAGGCCCCGAGCCCTGATGGCCTTAGCTGTGAATTCTATAAAGAATTTAAGTCAGAATTTATGGACCCTTTTCTGGAGATGCTAAATGATGCCTTTGTTAACGGATCCTTACCTAGGTCCCTCACTGAAGCTAATATCAGTCTCATACTTAAAAAGGGGAAGCCAGCTGATGAATGCCCATTGTATCGTCCTATTAGCCTCCTAAATGTCAATTTTAAGATACTTTCCAAAATACTAGCACGACGCCTTGAGAAAGCTCTTCCCTCCATTATTAATGTCGATCGGACAGGATTTGTTGTTGGTAGAAACTCTTGTAATAACATGAGAAGGCTGTTAAATGTAATCCAACTATCACATCACCAGAAACTGGCCAGCATGGTGATAGGTCTAGACGCAGAAAAGGCCTTCGAGAGAGTCGAATGGCCTTTTCTGTTTTCTGTTCTTGACACTTTCGGGCTAGGAGACACGTTCTGCAGTTGGGTTAAACTATTATATAACAGACCACTAGCAGCTGTTTGGATTAATGGGCAGACCTCTTCTTACTTTTCCCTGGGCTGGGGGACCAGACAGGCAGGGGTGTATGGCAAGCCGTTTTAACATTTAATCGCTAAGTTTGACTATCCAGAATTACCATTATAGATATCTATAACGTCATTTTGACTAGTAGTAATGTCATTGTGACTAGTATGAATTTTAATTTAAGATATCTGTAACGTCATTCTGACTAGTCAAAACTGAATTACAGATATCTGTAATGTCATTTTGACTAGTCAAAACTGAATTAGAGATATCTATAACGTCATTTTGACTAGTCAAAACTGAATTACAGATATCTATGACGTCATTCTGACTAGTCAAAACTGAATTACAGATATCTGTAACGTCATTCTGACTAGTCAAAACTACAGTTACAGATATCTGTAATTCAGTTTTGACTAGGCAAAATCTAATTACAGATATCAGTAATGATGTCACTCAATGGTCAACTCGTCACACATCGTAAATGACAATTGTAGATATCTGTAATTCAGTTTTGACTAGTCAAAATAATAGTTGGAGATATCTCAAACGTCAACACGTGACGTTCCTCATGCGAGGCTTGCCATAGGCTTCCCATTTTTAAACCAGATTTTAAGACTTAGAGGCAATGGCGGTTGCAGTTGTGGACAAGATAGATAGTTAGAAAATGCCATGAAATTGAAAGAGCTTATCATCAAGGGATTTGTGGCGAACGAGAGCTTCATTCACTTGACAGTTATAATAATATAAATTTACAGCGTATTGCAAATGTTTTGTCTCCACACACGCTTGAGGAGCTACGACGAAGTCTGGATGGTGTCAGAACACGGATCTCGCATGCTGGAGTAGCAGCAGAATATGTCGGGTTTTCGGCCCATTGCATTAATTCAGGTGGGTTTATTTTACTTACAAACATTATACTTACAAACATATGTAACATTTAATGTTAATGAGAAGGAATTGCTTAAACTGTGCGTGTGTGTGTGTGAGAGAGAGAGAGAGAGAGGGAGAGACTTGGTTCAAGTTAAAACGGTAGCTATTTTTCTGTGAAATAACCTCGATTGAATCTCATTTGTCATGAACACTATTTTTTCCTTGGTTTCAGGACGGCGAGGACGACCAGCCATTCATGTCACCAGGGACCAAATTGACTTCCTCATGAAGCAAGGCAACACAGTGAAACGAATAGCCAAAATTTTGGGATGCTCCTCATCATTTCTTTACAAGAGGACAAAATTGCTTGGGATACCAGTGAGGAGAAGATTTTCTGTGATAGAAGAACTTGAACGTCACGTAAGACGACTTCAAGGCCTGTATCCAAACTCTGGATATGAGGTAGGCCTAATTGATGGTTTATTGTATTTCACAGTTTTATTGCTCCAAAATATTAATTTGTATTCTTTTAGTAATTAAGATTACTACATTTTCAGATGATGAGAGGCTTGCTACGTGCAGATGGATTGCTGCTTCCATGACGAAGGGTGCGTGAGATGTTGGCCCACATAAACCCAGCAGCTGCTGCTCGGAGGTGGAGCAGCACTGTGGCAAGACAGGTGTATCATGAACCTTACCCCAATAGCCTGTGGCATATAGATGGGGACATGCACCTCATAAGGTGAATTCATCATGAAATTGATATTTAACCATTATCTGTGACCTCTATACTGTAATGATGTAGTCACAGCTATGGGTCAGGTAGTCAACATTTGGCCATGCAGCACACATTAAAAGATTATATGGGAAAGCAATCAGCTGATAAATATAAAGCAGACTATCTCTTCCTTAATGTTATTTCATTCATTCTCAAGAAAACCAACAAACAAATATTCAATTCCAGTATAGGTTATAAAAGATAATATTTAGAATTCTTGCGTGTGAATTTGGAGAGAGCTGCCATTCTTGGTAGGACAAACACACACAATTCTACTCATTTGGAATGGCAGCACTGTTTTATAATTGTGATAATTTGGGGAAAGGGGACAACACAAAAGCAGAGTGTTCTCACTTTCTCTCACAGGCTGCCTAAATGATGGCTTTTTAAAAACATTTGCAGCATAAAAACTATCTATCCACAATGAATACATAAACATCACAGAAACAGGCTATTATTAAAGCTGTAGTGTAAACATGTACAATCCTGATAGCCTGTTTCATTTGAGTCTTACTAATGAAAGCTGCAACTCAAATATTTCTTGCTATGTCATTAAAAATTACATTTGACATTTAACACTGTATTGTCGTAACACCTTCTAACCATTTCATTGGTTTTTTTTGTGTTGTTATTAATTTCTTGATAATTCTGTTTCTCACTGTAATAGTTACTTGTTTATGAACCACAAGCATTTGTTTTGTCTTTGTATTCACCATTTTAGATGGGGCTTTGCAGTTCATGGTGCCATAGATGGACACTCTCGGCTGATCACTTATCTGAACTGCAACACAAACAACCGTGCCACCACTGTACTGTGTCAGTTTCTTAAAGCCACATGCCATTATGGACTACCCTCTAGAGTACAATCGGATTATGGTGGTGAGAACCTGCAGGTGGCTTTATTCATGAACCTTGTGCAGGGCATCGAGCGCCGGAGTTTCATCACTGGGGAATCAATCCACAACCAGAGAATTGAGCGTCTTTGGAGGGATGTGTTTTTGCATGTGTTGCAGTCTTTTTACAGTACATTCTACTCTCTTGAAGATTCACATCTTCTGGATCCCAGTAATGACATTCACAAACTTTCACTCAGCATGGTTTTTCTTCCTGAGATTCAAAAAAGTCTGGAGCGCTTTAGGGAGGCCTGGAACAACCATGCTTTGCGCACGGAAAACAACCGAACACCATCTCAAATATGGACGGAAGGCATGCTCTCAAATATGGCAAGAGACAGTGCAGCGACCAACAATGTGTTCGGGGAAAATCCCTACAGCCCACACCATTTGGAGGCAGTTCTGGCACAGCATAGAATTGACTCTTTACCTGCTACTGATGATGATGATCTTCCAGCTGTAATTGTAGAGCAGTCTCAAATCAATCTCAGTCAGCAGCAACAGGAGTCAATCTCTCATGCCATTGATCACATTTCTGATTTGAAGATGAAGTACCTGACATGCTGTGCAGAAATTACAAATGTTATGGCAACCTAAGACTTTTAACCCGTTTTTCAAATGGGGATGCCATATGACATGTCTGATGTCCTCTATGACAGTAAACTGAATATCTTTGGTTTGTGGACAAAACAAGACATTTGAGGACACCATCTTGAGCTTTGAGAAACATCATTTTTCAACATTTTATAGAACAAATGCAATGGTCTAGGTCACATATGTCAAACTCAAGGCCCACAGGCAGAATAAGGGTCGCCACGTCATTTTATGTGGCCCCCAGAGCCTATGTAAGATGTATATGATTGTCTTAAAATAAAAGTCTATGCTGCTTTAAAGCATACATTGACCATAAAGTTATTATTTTGAGTTAATTACATACAATATACTACTTTTTATGTGTAGCGGTGTATTCAGTTTGTTTACAGGTGTATGTGTTCCATGGAGCCAAATGTTTCAAACCATCTCTCATTAGTTGGATGCAGGGTTCAAAATTAACACCCCCCAAGCGCCAAAAGTGGGTCAGTGGGCTTACTTACCTTGAGTATCAAGAGATAACTGCTGATCTTTCTCATGGTCCTCAAAGATGTTTGACTGGTGGATGGCCCTCATCAGCAGCCTTAGGTACTCTCTTGTTGGGCCACCTTTGTCAACTGCCCCTTCACCATTGCCATCTTCATCCACAAAAACAACGTCCAATTTTGCTTCAGAGTTGAAGTTCCTACGTTTGAATGCTCGCAGGCTACACAGCAAGACATTATTCCTGCACACATTTATTTGGTTGCTGGTTGGACAGAAGCTTTCATCAACTTTGCTGACCAGTTTTGTCAATATGTTTTGAAGATCAGTCCTACAACCAAAAAAGTTAATGCATTTTATTCATATGCCAAATGTATCACATTTTAAAACAGTTCTAATTTTTGGGCTCACATGATTAAATGCAACAGGACATAAACATCACACTGACTATATAGTATATTTACTTTGGGTTAGAGTGAGTCCTTTGTGTGATATAGATTAAGAGAAATGTACACACAGACAAACAAAACAAAATAAAGGCAGGCAGGGTTAATGAGAAGAAACATACTCATCCACAGGTCCTCCCAGTTGATGTTGTGATACAGGTGACAGATTTTGTGAAACTGACTCCTCTTGTTCATCAACAATAATGACTACATCCTGGGCAGATGGAGGAGTGAGTGGTTCATCATCAAGCATTTGGATGTCTGTTGTGTATGAGAACAGGTTGAGTGGTGGTTGAGTGGAGGGCACAGACAGTGGTGGCTGGGTGGAGAACAGAGTGAGTGGTGGTTGAGTGGAGGGCACAGACAGAGGTGGCTGGGTGGAGAACAGAGTGAGTGGTGGTTGAGTGGAGGGCACAGACAGTGGTGGCTGGGTGGAGAACAGAGTGAGTGGTGGTTGGGTGGAGGAAACACACAGCGAAGGCTGGGTGGAGGAAACAGACAGCGAAGGCTGGGTGGAAGGCACAGACTGCAGAGGCTGGGTGGAGGGCACAGACAGCAGTGGCTGACCAGGAGATGCATGATGTGGGACAAAAGCTCCATTATTTTCCTGACGTGAGATAATTTCCTTATTTGAAGACAAACATGCACAATAGATGAGCTCGCATGAACCAAACACAGATTCCATTGAGACTTGAGACAGGATGTAAGATATGCAACATACATTTACCTGTACATCCTGATTTGAAAGCCAAAGTACATATAGAGTTGAGGATGCTTTTAGGTCATGATCCATTATTGACCCAGAGGAATTGCTCTCAATTGATCTTGATGATGTGGATTCCTGCACCTTAAAGATTTCACTGGCCATTTCATGTTGACCAACAAAGTCAAACAAAACCTAATAAAAAAATGAGGCACAGTGTTATACCAGTCAGGTGTTACAACCGCCCGAACCAATGAGAAGACCCTTAATATTTTGTGAAGCTGAACACCCCACCTGAATTGTCTCAGACAAGCAGAATTTCCTCATGTTGACATATCCATTGGGATATTTAAATTTTAAAGACACCCCATCTGAGGGTTCCTCACATGCAGCCATTCGCTGACGTCTTGCTTGAATAGCCTGAAATGTGATTCCTCTCATTAGAAAACAGTTGATAACTAAAACAAGCTAACACTACAAAGACAAACCTTTTGACGTCTTTCTTCAAAGGCCTGATAAGCCCGTTTCTTCATCTCCTGTTAAAAAAAAAGAACATATAAAAAACAAGTGTTTATGCTTGTAGTGACCCTTTGCCTATCAAAAAAAGGCCACCACCACGGTTGCTGTTAGACTATTTTAAGACGCGTGCATAACAAAAGACAAATGTCCATTAGTTTCAATGGTAACTGGATTTATTACTTGCAATCCGCTGTGTAGTCCATTTTTACTAACATAAACAAAATAACAAACCAAAAATCAGACTTTTCCTCTTCCACATTGCCTTGAGCACGGTCAAAAAACTTTTTGCTTCCACACAGCAACAGCTGTGTGAAGTTGCACCTTGATTAAATCACTTCCCCTCACTGCCTAATTGTCAGCACACCTACTCCCCCAAGTGGAGAGAGTTTTACCAAAAACAAACATGACATATTTCACAAAAATGTCTCTCACAATGCTTTTTGTATGAGCATGTAAAACATAAACAAAAACACTTTGAGAATATTACCTTTTCCTGGTCCTCCAACAAGGTTTCATTATATTCTTGGTCTTGCTGGGCACGTATTGCTTGCCATTCTTGAAGAGCCTAAATCATCCAAAATGATGTTCCTCATAAATCACCATAAAATAGTACAGACACACATTACATTACTAAAATAAAAAGAAAAGAAAAGAAAAGAAAAGAAAAAAATAATAATAAAATTCTAAGATATAAATTGACAGAATGATTGACCTGATCTGAAACTACATTTTGAGCTTGGGTACTCTCAGCCACAAGGATGGTCCCATCTTGTACAGGAGCAGTTGAGAGTGGTGGGAATGAATTCTGGGATATGGCAGAGGATGTAGGTGTCACCTGGCGGTACACAGAAAACAAATTATGTCTGCTTCAGGAAGAGAAATAAAAACATACAGCAGTAATATCTTTAAAAATAATCTCTCTTGGATGCTCGATTTATAATGCTATTTATCTTAGTGGTAAAGTATTGTATGCACTTTTCCAATATCCCCAACTTAACTAAAAATTTAAATTTGCCACTTAACACTGCATATAACTAAAATACTTGGATCATAATCAGTTTTACCTGATCTGAAACTACATTTTCTTCAGCCATTTGTGAGGTCTCATCTACTGCTGGAGCTGTGGAGAGTGGTGGGGATGAATTCTGGGACCTGGCAGAGGGTGGTGATGTTAACTGAGGGTAGACAGGGAGATTTTTAACTTCACCTAAAAACATTACAGAGAACACTTCTATGACACATGATATAAATCCCTGTGTATATAATTCCATACCTGCAATATGGCAGCCAGTAGTAGAATGTAAACTCTGCTTTTGCCAACTGCTTGTTTGAGCTCCCTCAAAGAACTGACTTGTAATTTCTGGATCTTGCGTCCTTTGACCATCCTTGCCAATTCAAAGCCTACCAAATTTAAACTGAAAAGAGGGTAGCTTTGGCAAACAAAGTTGTTCAATTCAGATAAACTCCAGTTTAAATCAATCTTTGACCTTGTTTGTCCAGCCTCTGTGGATTCATGCACAGGTTGTCCTAAAAATGGAAATGCAAACATCAGTGTCATGTTTCTAGTGGCAAAGTCGTACATTCATAGCTGGTACTGTATATGCAAGATCTCTCCAAACAGACCAGATGCCTTGAATGTTTGAGAAGCCAGTTTCAAAGAAAATAAGTTTGACAATAAAAAGGATCCAAACTGTCTGTCATATTTTCAGCTATAATCATAAATATAATCATCAACCTAAGCCTGTTCACAGTATATGACTACCATTAACCTAAGAGAATTTGTTTGTAGTAATTCTACAGCTTTAAAATTAAGCTCACCTTACACTCCTAGGTCCTACTCCTAGGTGTGACATGGAAAATTATACGAAAATACAGAGAGAGAGAGTAAAACAGCTCTTCAATATTTTAAACGCTAATGCTAAATGTATCCAACAAAGTCAAACATTTTCCTATATAGAGCCACTAAGCAGCCAAAGGGACCACTTTCAGGCTCAGATTAATGTAATAGTCAGAGCAGCTCATTACATGGTTTTCTTTACAAGAAACAGATAAACCTCGCCCAATGTCTTTGTATCATATTTTAGAGGGAATGAAAGCAAATAACACTCAATTTGTATGCACTTAAATCTCAGACTTACCTAATCCAAGTTTGGAGAGTTCAGCAAGTTCTGAACTGGGGGGTAGAACCTCAATATCTGGCCCTGACAGGAGGAAAATGTTTGTCTGCCAAAAAGGGTTTGCCCTGCGTCCACTAGATCCCCCTGAAATCAGATACACAACTGTGTCAACAGACAGACCTAGCTAAAACATTTCCACCAATAACTAACCAGAAGGGGACAGAACACAGAATAATTGCACATTACTTGAGTAACTTTACAGTTACTCATCCACTTTACAGTTACTCATCCAAAAATTAGTTTGAGTAAAAGCTGGCAACTCTGTTACTGAGAATCACGAGAATTTCGGAGCTACGCAGAGCGTCCTGTAACCATAGTAACTCTATACTACTGCCAGAAGAGTCGCTGATTGAGCTCAATCTAAGGGGAATAGTAACGGAAGAAGGAACGCCACGCATTCACAATAAAAAATGAAACAACAAATTTTCAGAAAAGCACCCCAACAACAGCAATAGGGCAAGGATGAAACTAAATGAATTCAGATGAATTTTTCTTTAACGAAAATGAACTAGTCAATTCTGTCTGTTACATACTAACGTTACTTGTCACACATCCATGGGAGTAAATTACAATATAATACATAACTTAAAGCCTAATATAATCCATATTTCCCACTTTCCTCCAGACCATCTGAATGAATCGCTGCTTTGTGTACCTGCCTGTCCATGCTCAGTCGGTGTCCTCGTTTCGTGTCGTGACATTATCACTTATAAATTAGTTTTTCAGAAATGGACGTGTGGCATGAGAACGTGTGAAAAGTGTAAATTGTGTGACTATAGAGCCAACTTTTAGCCAACATAGTGCTAACCCACAGTGGCAGCCTTAAAACTACCTGTTGCGACTTACCCTGAATTTGTTGTAGTTGACGGCGAAATAGTCGTCTTGTTATAGACAGTAAACCAT